GCTTTACCTGCTTGCGTTCCCGTCTGGGCGGAGCTTGCGGAGGAGGAGGGGGCGGGGCCTGTTGCTGCTGGGGGGCGGGGTTTAAGATGACAGTCGCCGGGGCAACAGGGGGCGTGAACTGGGGCTGGGTGGGGTAATAAGCCCCAGCTGGAACCATAAACAGTACAAATGCCTCAGACTCTCTCAAAACGACAAACTGTGCAATCAGTAATCACTCAATTCACAGCTGAAATAACAAAATAAAATAATATAAACGATGAAAAACAGAATTAATAAAACTACTCGCACTACTTTAACTGTTGCACTTGTGTGTATGGGTTAAGCGAAAATGTGATTTGATTTGCAAATGAAAAATTAATTATTTAATAAAAATAATTCAACAAATAAATCCTACAATAGTATAAACAGTGAGTAAATACTGACCATTTTTATTTTGCGTGAACTAATTTTTTTGTGAATTTATTCCATTTTAATCTATCGTATTTTATGATATATTATTTTTATTAACATTACTGTCATATTACTACTTTAAAAAAATGTCACTGTATTATGCAAAACAAAGTCAAAAGTAGTACTTTATTTCAATTTATTAGATTTTTTCATTTTATTTATTGTGCACATTTATGCCATTTTAATCTATTGTGTTTTATATTATTGATTATAACGTTATTAACATCTCTGTCATGTTACTATAAAGCTGTGCAACTGTATTTTGTTTGTGTGTGCAAGACAAAAATGTCAAAAGTTGTACTTTACTATTTAAAATGATTTTGTTTTATTTTATTTAAAATATAACAAAAAGATAATTAAATATGTGAAATAAAAAAACAAACAAAGAAATGTAAAGTAAAATAAATAAATAAATAAAACTACTCAAAGTTGCTGGTCATAAGTATAGAAATAATGTAGCTTAAATGTCTCGATTACTTCATTTGCAGAGCTTTATGGGAGTGGACGTCACTGCAGATCTATCACATTATAAACATTTACAACGTGTCTGTAGTAAAATGATTTATTCAAGCATACACTGGATAATGACGACGACTGTTTACGTAAACGTTTAAGGAATATGTAATCGGTCAATGAGTTTGGCACTCCAAAACGATTTTGGTAGAAATCGAAATTTCACAATTTCTGGTTGCTGATATTTCTGTGCATCACTAGGATGAACCAAACCAAAATACACTAAAATGCATCCAAAACACAAGAAACAAGCATCCAAACACTGCCACAGAAAACACATTATGCCAAAAAGGGAAAGCAAAAACATTCAGGCGAAGAAAGAAAGAACAAAAAAGACAAATTACATAAAAGAAAGAAATTTAATTAATTAAATATTAGAATGAAAAAGAAAATAAGAAAGAATGCAAAAATTGATAAATTTAATAAAAGAAAGAGAGTAAATGTAGAAAGAAAAATAAGTAAAAGAAAAATAAAAGAAAGAAATTAAATATAGAAATAAAAAATATAAAAATATAAATATTACAAAGAAAGAAATACAACAACAATTTTAAATTAAAGAAATGAAAAAATTAATTAAATATAAAGAAAGAAAAATAAATAAAAGAAAAATAAAGAAAGTAAAAATAAAGAAAGCAAGAACAAAAAAAGACAAATTAAAAGAAAGAAATTAAATATAGAAATAAGAAATAAAAAATATAAATATTACAAAGAAAGAAATACAACAAAAATGAAAAATTAAAGAAATGAAATAAAATTGATTAAATATAAAGAAAGAAAATAAATAAATAAAAGAAAGAACAAAAAATACAAATTAAATAAAAGAAAGAAATTAAATATAGAAAGAAAAAGAAAATAAGAAAACAAATTAAAAATTAAAGAAATTAAATAAAATTAATTAAATATAAGAAAAACTAAATAAATAAAAGAAAAATAAAGGAAGAAAGAAAAAGAAAGATAAATAAAGTAAAAAGAAAATCACAAATAAAAATATACAAAGAAGGAAAATTAGAAAGAAACAGGAAACAAATCTTTGCAAACGGTTCAGAAACAGGAACGATGTTTATAATAAACCTGCATTTGTTGCATATCCGTGTCTTAAATGAACTCAGCACGGTGCCCAGTCATTTAAAAGCCTGGATTTGTTCAATTTGAGGCAATTAAAGCGGCATGAAATTAACAAATTAATCTGGATAGATGACATACGGCTCACTAGAGCACATAACTCTTCATTCAGAAATAAACCGCTGATAAAAAAAGTCAAAACAGCTTAATTTCTGGAACGGTGAGAGATGCAAATCAAATGTACATTAGATAAAGAGATATTATAAAGAAAACGCATTCACACAAAGGCCACAGAAAGCACTGAGGCTTCAGACGCACGGATGCTTTACCTGCTTGCGTTCCCGTCTGGGCGGAGCTTGCGGAGGAGGAGGGGGCGGGGCCTGTTGCTGCTGGGGGGCGGGGTTTAAGATGACAGTCGCCGGGGCAACAGGGGGCGTGAACTGGGGCTGGGTGGGGTAATAAGCCCCAGCTGGAACCATAAACAGTACAAATGCCTCAGACTCTCTCAAAACGACAAACTGTGCAATCAGTAATCACTCAATTCACAGCTGAAATAACAAAATAAAATAATATAAACGATGAAAAACAGAATTAATAAAACTACTCGCACTACTTTAACTGTTGCACTTGTGTGTATGGGTTAAGCGAAAATGTGATTTGATTTGCAAATGAAAAATTAATTATTTAATAAAAATAATTCAACAAATAAATCCTACAATAGTATAAACAGTGAGTAAATACTGACCATTTTTATTTTGCGTGAACTAATTTTTTTGTGAATTTATTCCATTTTAATCTATCGTATTTTATGATATATTATTATTTTTATTAACATTACTGTCATATTACTACTTTAAAAAAATGTCACTGTATTATGCAAAACAAAGTCAAAAGTAGTACTTTATTTCAATTTATTAGATTTTTTCATTTTATATATTGTGCACATTTATGCCATTTTAATCTATTGTGTTTTATATTATTGATTATAACGTTATTAACATCTCTGTCATGTTACTATAAAGCTGTGCAACTGTATTTTGTTTGTGTGTGCAAGACAAAAATGTCAAAAGTTGTACTTTACTATTTAAAATGATTTTGTTTTATTTTATTTAAAATATAACAAAAAGATAATTAAATATGTGAAATAAAAAAACAAACAAAGAAATGTAAAGTAAAATAAATAAATAAATAAAAAAATAAATAAAAAAATAAAAATTCAATAAATAGAAATAAAATAAAACAAAAAGCGGAAAAAAGTCAAATAAATAAAATTAGACGAAAGAAAGAAGAAAAGTTAAAAAAAATGACAAAATAAAATTAATTCAATAAAATTAGATGAAAGAAAGTAAGAAAGAAGTAAATAAAAATGAACAAATAAAGTAATTTAAATAAAAATACAATTAAATAGAGGAGAGAAATAAAGAAAAAAGAAAGAAAGTTAAAGTTAAGAATAAATTAAAATTAACAAATAAAGAAAATTAAAGAACGAAATAAAGAACAAAAAGAGAAACAACTACCACTGTAGTTCCTCCTCTCTCAGATCTTCATCAAATTAAACGGGACTGTACCTTTAAGACTTCCATATTTAAATGAGCTCTGACTACTGAATAAGTGAGTGATGCATGAATGTGGGCGGCCGTATGCTAATGTGCTCACGGTCGTGATGTCATAACCATGACGTTTTCGGAAAACTGGGTCGGATACCATGACAACCACTAGTCCCCCCCCCCCCCTCCCTCCCCCCACAACTGTTTCAAAAGTCGACAACAAAATCACCCAAATATTTAATGAGGGAAAATCCTCGTCAATTTCACTAAACAGTAAATTAATCAGTTGATCCACAGTGAAGATTCCCACTTCACGAAGTCTCACACACGCGCACACACACACACACACACACACACTCTC